CAGCTGGATAAAACAAAAACTGTGTCCGTCTTCATTTCAGGCTGCAAAGCAACAAAATGTGATTATTTTAAAAGGGGGATGATTCTTTTCTATACTGTGTGTGTGTGTGTGTGTGTGTGTGTGTGTATCAGAATGGTTGAGTCTTTCTAACTCGGCCAATGATCAGTGCCTCAGGTCAAGTTTACCAAGCTGACGATCAGCTAGTCGATACCTGCTGCCCACACAATCTCTTTAGTCGTGTAGGTCCTGGCACAACAGCACTCCAGAGGAGAAGACATTGCCTCCACTGCTCTTATTTATAATTCATACCCAATTTGGAGCACACAGCCTTTACTTTCCCTCCACTCCAGGCCCCCTCACCTTTCCCAAGTAACCTTTTTATTTGTCTCTCTTTCTGTTTTTTTTTTTCCCCAGGACCAATTAATGGCGATGGGTTCACTTTTTGTTACCTTGAACCAGTGGTGAACCCCTGATCAACGAGAGCGTCTCATACTGATCCCAGCCACGGGGTCAGCCACAGTGCGTCTCCGAGCAGATATGCAAATGCACCGAGCCCCTGTGGCGACCCTGCGGGAGCTCCGCCCCTGCCGGCGACATCACCTTTGATGAGGGTTCACAAGCATGCCTCACTAATGACCCTTTATTACTCTACCTTGCCATCTCTTAATTGCCAAGATGTGTTGAGTGTAATCAATAGTGTATGTGTGCCGCGGCGTGTCTCGGTACATCATTCGCTCGCATAGACACACAAAGAATAGGGGAAGAGGACATCCGTGCCTGGCTAGCTCACAAATTAAATGAATGCCATTTAAAGAGGTGGTCATTGATTAAATGTCATCTTTCAATAAAGAGAGCAATGTCTACTGCGCATAGAAGTAGGAAAAGTCTCTTGTTCTGGTGTTCCTTCAGTTTTTTTTCTTTTTCTTTCACAGCTTTTTCTCTTCACCTGAGGGATTTTTTTAAGTTCTTTAAATTGGAGGGATATAAGGCTGATCATTTCTTTAACGTCTTACAAATAATGGCACGCTACTATTAAAAATCCATTAACATGCAATTAGGAAACAGATTATTAAAGCCATGACAAAACTTTATGCTGCGATTACAATACACAGAAATTATGACAATAAACAAAATTAACTTTTACCTAGTTACTTGCATACAAATGCTTTGATATATTTCCTAAGGTAAAATGTTATTAATCAGTTTTTCAGTTTGGAATTAAATTAAATTTTTCAAAATGCATTGGCTAATAAATAAAGTTTTGAATGTTTCAGATAAAAATGTATTATATTTATAAAATTATATTTATACATATTTATATTTTTTATGTTTAAAACATTAAAAATTTACAGACAAAAGCTGATAAGCAAATAAATAAGTTAAAACACACAGAGATTGACAATATAAGAAAGTACTGAAATATTAAACTTGAAAATGAGGTAACACCCAAATTCTCAAAAAGGTATATTTTATTGTAGATATTGCAGAAAATCACATAAAATTACATGTATAAACACAATGTTGTGCTTTCTGTAAGCATCATAATTATGAATACTACACATGTAATTGTGCAATTAAAGAAGTTGCATCTTTTGAACTAGTTTCAGTGAAAACTGTCCAGCAGGCAGACTGTGATCCACACGACCTCGACACTCCTCACAACATACTCGTGCTTATATGTGTATACACACACACGATTTTGATATCCTCATCTTCAACGACGCACCTCACAGTATGAGCACAAACACACTGCCTCTCACACCAGGCCACTGTTATCTGTATTACTTCACACGACTCCATTTGACCAGTGTATTTGTCATAATGAAGCTTCATATTTCACTTCCCTGTTAAGACGTCTTCCAGATGCAGATCAAATCTTTATAATGAACCATTACATTATTCAGCTGGATACCTTTGAGGGTAATTTAGTAGTTCTTTGATCTCACTGTGACAAATAGTGTTTGAAACATTGTCCCGGTGACAAACACACTCTTCTCTCTCCCTCACACACAGACACACTCACACAAACACAAGCACTCTTTCAACATTCACGTCAACAATAAATCAAGGAAGACAGGCTTTAGCTATCGGCAATTCCTTTTTCTCCCCTCACCAGAAGCGTTACAAATGGTAATCGTGTGTGATGGTAAAATGCTCATGAGCGAACGATGCTCGAGTGAATGAGCAGTCAAAGCACCGCCGCAAGTAACACTCGGAGAGAGTAAAACATATCAAAGTGTGCTGATTGTAATTGGTCTCCATCTGTAGCGTGGCATTCAATCACGCCTCCGAATTGATTGAGCATAACTGGCATATTCTATTTATTTGTCAAAATTATTTTATTTCATTGCCAGACATTTTTCATGTTGTAATTACACAGTTGTTGAAAAATTACAGTATCTGATATTCTAGTAATTAAAATATTTCAACCTCTAATTGTTTTAGTGTGATTGTTTGCTGTTATGGTAGCTTTTTGTGTGTGCGTCTGCCTTTCTTACATACACTGCACATCAGCACAATTATATCCTTGACTTGTTCAACACACAGTGTGCTTATAGTTTTACTTCAAACTAGAATGAACTAGTCAGAGTAACACTAGCAGGGGAAACCATCCGTTGCACGATGCCGCAGAGTCTATTTGCTATCTGTGTCCCTGTTAGCAAAGGGCTTAGATTTCCGGTCCCAACGCTTTCTGATATTTGTTTGCTCTATGCTCTAGCGGTTTGGCACTTTTGCCATGCATACCTGAACATCTGAGAGGCGATCTGAGAGAGTCGGCTCGAGGACAAATGAGGCCAGAACAGGTGTCAACGTTCTAGCACGTTGTGTTAACACGCAGCTCTGTGATGGAGAAGCTACGATTCGTGACACAACTAATTAAATCTAAATATACTGTATAGGCAACCCCCACCCGTCGCTCCCCCGACACAAACCCACTGCCCTTCGAGGATATGGCTCATCCCTCTTCACGTTAGACGCCAAGAGCAAATATTACCGCTGCAACTAGAGCGTGCTTTGTTTGCATTATATCTAATTAAATTAATGCATTTGGAAAAAATAAGCACTTAAAATTGCAAATAGAAAAGGGAAAAAACATGCATGCACACCTACGATTGCATTAAAAAGTCTCTCTGTCAATTGCCATATGCAGGACCTGTCTGGCGGTGGGTTCCCCTTGTTCCCCCCCTCTTCTGCCTCTTTTAATTACTTTCCTTTACTTATTATTGTTGTAAGA